TTTCAGTCTTAATAATTTTCTGCCTCAGAAAATTCTCGGTCTCTTTTGTGGGAAGTATTTTAATCATCTTAAAGAATGGTAAGATTTTCTCTGCATGAATAGCATAGGAGTATTTTGGTGACTAATCATTTCAGGAATGCAATATGCATTACCGTCCTTGTGAAAGCCTTCCCAAATATCATCATTAACGTGCCTTTGAAAACTGCAGCTTGTGTATGATCTGTGAAGATACGCAAGAGTTTACAAAGTCAAGTCTCAGGTTTTCACTTCAGTAAGTGCTTCGTGACTAAGGCTGCACTTGTGTCTTTTCTGTAGGACCGCTCTTGAGATTAAGCAGAATACACATGCATCTGTCATGTTGAGCAGCTATGCAGGCCCCACCCCAGGGTTCATGTATTTTCCTAAAAATGGATGCTTTCAACTGCTTTTTAACTAATGAGGTGCAATATTTGAAGTGGGTAAAGGAAATCCTTCTCTCCCAGATTCTTGCTGACAAAACTACTGGCAGACGGGCGGTTTAAAGAAAAAGCTTAGTGATGCAAATGCACAGAAATAAAAGCAATGAGGTGGATTATGGAAAGAAGCTGGTGAGATTTGGGTTGGAAGAAGCATGAAGACAAATTTGCTGGAAGCTGAGGAGAACGCAGCATATAAGACAGTTAGCAGAAAAGGAGGTGAAGAAAGTGCCTAAAGCTGAGGTAAGGGAAGAGACTTGAGTTTGATGAAAACAGACTGGTTTTAAAAAAACAAGGCAAATGAATAAAAATATGATGGGAGACTAGATTTGCAGGGTTGGTGATGTGCCAACAGCATGGTGATACTGTTTTAAATATATACAATATTAAAATGGTTAGATAGCATAGAACAGTTTAAGTCAGAAGGGACCTCCAGAGGTTACCTATTCTGGCCCCGATCAGGGCAGGTCTGATTAGACGAGGTTGCCTGGGGCTATGTCATGTTGAGTCTTGAATGCCTAGAAGGATGGAGAGTCCATAACCTTTCTTGGCAATCTGTTCCTGTATTTGACCACTGTTACAAAAGGTGGGGAAAAAAAAAAGTAACACTGTAGCAGCAATATCTCTGTGATAGCCTGACCCATTTCTCCACAACATAGGTCAGCTTTGTCTTCATTCAGTTCTTTCCTTATCCTCTTCCTCAGAGATCGTAGCCCTGTCTGGTTAGCCTCTCTTCCTTCACTGGGGAGAAAGAAGAGAGGCTGAAAGTGAGCAGCACATTCACTTTTGATTGAGTGTACTCCTCCCTCCACAGCAGAGTAACAGAGCAAAACTGCTGCATAACCAAAGAGTGAGTGAAAGCTGGGGTTTTGCTGTCTGGGAGCGTCCCAGTGCTACAACCTCCGTGCCAGGGGATGTGCTTCTAAGATGGGCCTGAACGTGAACCATCTTGAGACAAACAGGCAGTAAGTTGGTAGACAATGGTGTGATGGACATGTAGAGCAGACTAGCAATAAGAGAAGACTCAGGAACTAGTTGCAGAAGGAGTTGGGGTGGACGTGAGTATTTGAGATTATTTTGACAAGAAGGATGGGATTGTATTTGGGAAGAGGGACATGCTGGAAATTAGGTACCATGGTAGGACTGGCTGAAGAAGGAAACTGGTACTTCAAGGAGAAGGGATGGAGCGGGAGATAAGTGAGTGAAAGGACAGAGGATTGGAAAGAGAGTTTACTGGAAGGGATAGTTTTAAAGGAGTTGGAGTGGGGAGAAAACACCCACACAGTGTGTGTGAGTTACAGCACACAGCTTTCTAGATCATCTGGAATAGAGGAAAGTAGTGAATGTTGCTTTGCGATGTGCAGCAGTACACTGATTTCTCTTCAGCATGTGATAACTGTTAATCAGCCACACTCTAATAACAAACACTGTAAAATAATTCAAACAAATACTTTTGCTCCTTTGGCCCTTAAATTTATCTTGCATTAGATTTCTTCTTCTTCCAGAATAGCCATTGATTCTTTAAGCTATCTGCGCTGACTCTTTCAGGCATTTGCAGTTGTCTGCATTGACAAGCTTCCTCTCTGCTTCCCCAAAGTTGAGAGAAGCTCTGGAGGAAGGGCATTATTCTATTTTAAAGGCAGATAGTATATTAAAGATGCTGGGGTCTTCTTTAAAGGTACTTTGTCTAAAGTAGACCCAAGCTGAAAGGGCTTGGAGATGCAGTCCCTGCTGGAATTGTTTCAGAATGTGGTTCTAGTCAAAACCAGTGGTTGTGTAGCCTTTCTACTCCAGTGTGTGACATGCTTTAGCAGCTTTGCAAACTGCTTCATGAGGTGTCCTGAAAATTGAGTGTGTGGAAAACTCTGACAATACAGAGAACAGTGTTAGCAGGTAAGACAACAGACAACCTTGGTGCACCACTAACATTTCATACCATAATTACTTAATTTAACTTGCTACAAACTAGCAGTACCTCCAGAGAAGCGGTCCTTGCAAGCTGGTCTGGAATAGGACTGGTTTTGGTGCTAGTTTATTTTTTTTGACTGCATCAGTTTTGTGATCTTATTTGCTGCACAGTACACAAACACTGAGGGTAGGGCTGTTTGACTTCAATGCTTGTTTAAACTGATCCTATAGCTACAGCTTGTTGTCCCATTTTTTGTTTATTAGCAAAGTGCTTGCTAAGTAAGTATTTTGTCCCTATTTT